CTCCCCAAGGCTTTCACAAAGCCTTGGTCCCCACTCTCCTCACAAATCGCCTCAACCATGGCTGCTGGCCAGCTGCCAGCTGGCTGTGCCAGCTAGCACAAGCCCAGCAGCAGCGCTGGTGCTTGCTGGTGCGTGCTGGCGCTGGTGATGGCTGGTGCGTGTTGGCGCTAGTGCTGGCTGGTGCGTGCTGGCGCTGGTGCCAGCATCCCATGCATCATCGCTGCTCGCATGGCCCAGCATGCGTGCTGCTAGCGAGCCACGCATGCTGGCCTCTCGCTTCGCACCACACTCGCACATCATGCGCGCCACGCATCAGCCTCTCTCTCGCACGCAATGCCTAGCTTGCGTGCTGCTAGCAAGCCACGCATGATTGGCTTGACGTTGCTAGCTTGCTAGTCCCTCGCACACACTCGCACAACCACACGCATCAGCCTCGGCCATGCACCGTGCACCATGCACGTACATGCCTCGCCCAAGCACCACGCACCACGCATGCGTCAGTGCCTAGCACTAGCTGTGCTTGGTGTTTGTGGTCCTTCCATGCTCCCAACATTATGCTAGGGCTGCTACGGCATCAGGCCATCCTAGGGCACGCATGGTGCGCCTAGTGATGCTGCTTGGACTGCGATGGTGCCCAGCCATCCTAGGGCACGCATGGTGCGCCTAGTGATGCTGCTGGCTTGCAATGGGCTGCGATGGCGCCCAGCATCATGCTAGGGCTGCGATAGCGCCTAGGCATGATGCCAGGGCTGTGTTGGCGCGCCTGATGCTAGCGATAGCCAGCCATGGTGCCTAGCCATCACGCTAAGGCTGCGATAGCCCCTAGGCATGATGCTAGGGCTGCTATGGCTCGCCTAGTGCCTATGATGAGCTAGCCTAGCCTAGCTATGGCTACGCTCATACTTGTCGATTGTGATTTTGCGACGCTCTGTCTCGACGCCCTAGGCTCGATGTCCAACGTCTGTATTCGTAAAACTCTGTCGACTCATTAAATCCTTTCGGATTAATTCGTCGTCTCGGATCGGTGATTCGATTGGGTTCGACCCGAAGGGTTCAGTTAAGATTAAGCTGTAATATCAATTGCACCTCGATATTACTGATCGGAAGCGGCCTCCACCTAGGCATTCCGATCACTTGACTTTACTGAAGAATTAGCTCTGTAATAATTCTGAACCCTCTATCGGAAGAATACACTTGTTGGAAGGACACCATTCCTTTCAATCTCCCACTTGTCCTTCCAGACAAGTGTGCATACAGTGTATAGCTCATTTCCTATGTCACTTATTGTTTCTTCATGAACTATAAGGTAAGATTCTTTGTCATCCTTATTACGTTCAGAAGTGTTTCTCGATCTCTGAGTTCGACTATCAATAAGCAGATGATTTCTAAAATCCATCTGAGTACGGCCATGCATTTTCACAGTCTCGCTCTTCGAGCGGCCTTGTAAACAACAAAACATTTTCCCTATTGTTAGTAAGGGGACAATCCCAGTCTTGTATTGTAAGTTCTTCTTACTAAGAGGACATAGTCTCCCGAGTGTTCCCGTTATGATCCCCAGTTACGACAGACGTTTGGAAACATCAAAGAGTCTAGTACTCAAACAAGAAAACTTCACAGGACTCATGGTCGGAGGAAATAAGTTCCGATAGTCATAATGAGAAATGTACTTATGAAAAAATTTAAATTTTCTTAAAGTACTCTCATACGTCTTATCCAGTACAGTTCCAAACTGTACCTGTGCAAATGATTTATGATTGTCACGTCCTCGCAGCACAAGAAACGGTGCTGTAAATCATACTACACATTAATCTATGGCGGTCATCAATCGTCCATCTGTTAGATGACCTCGATTAGGGACACTTTTCGATTTAATATTCAATGTTCACTTAACAGGTGTTTCTTTATCCAAGACATGGTCTTGATACCCTGTTTGAATATTTCCGTAAATCGAATGGACTCATTATTTAATTCTAAACCACAATTAAATAGTAATGGAGTGAATGATAATTTTGCACAAAAATTAATTACTCCATTAATGAATGGTTTTAATACAGTGTTTTACATTAAATGTCCTATTTAATTAAAACACATGTACAAGGAATTTCAAAGTCAGTCTCCAACATGCTTGATTCCCATTGCCTCAATGTGCTTGTTGTGTTTCACTTGAGGCAAAGGTTTAGTCAAAGGATCGGCTACATTATCATCCGTGCCGATCTTACAAATTCTGATTTCACCTTCGGATTTCCATTCCCTTATCATGTGAAATCGCCTTTGCACGTGTTTGACCTTCTGGTGTTCTCTTGGCTCCCTGGCCTGAGCGATAGCTTCATTGTTATCACAATAGAGGTCTATCGGCCCCTTGATTGAGGGTAAAACACCAAGTTCGCTAATGAACTTGCGAATCCAAACAGCTTCCTTGGCAGCTTCTGAAGCGGCCAAGTACTCGGCTTCAGTTGTAGAGTCTGCAGTGGTGCTCTGCTTGGCACTCTTCCAGCTAAACGCTCCTCCATTCAGACAGAATATGTACCTCGACTGTGACTTGAAGTCGTCTCTGTCAGTCTGGAAGCTAGCGTCGGTGTAACCTTCAACAACCAGTTCTTTGTGGCCTCCATACACCAGGAATTTATCCTTGTTCCTTTTCAGGTACTTAAGGATGTTCTTGGCCGCAGTCCAATGCGCCTCTCCTGGGTTCGATTAGTATCGACTCGTTGCACTCAGGGCATATAATACATCTGGCCTTATACATATCATGGCATACATGATCGATCCGATTAGCGAAGCATATGGGATCCGATTCATTCTTTCTCGCTCAACAGGTGTCTGTGGACACTGTTTCTTGCTGAGAGTTACGCCATGGGACATGGGTAAATGCCCTCTTTTGGCATTTTCCATGTTGAATCGAGCCAGTACCTTATCAATGTAAGTACTCTGGCTTAATCCAATCATCCTCTTAGATTTATCTCTGTAGATCTTGATGCCCAATATGTACTGTGCCTCTCCTAAGTCCTTCATTGAAAAGCACTTTCCCAACCAGCCCTTTACGGACTCCAATAATTTTGTGCTGTTTCCAATGAGCAGTATGTCATCGACATACAGGACTAGGAATGCAATATCACTCCCACTGACCTTCTTGTATACACAAGACTCATCTGGATTCTTGATAAAACCAAACTTGTTAATGGCTTCATCAAATCGCAGATTCCAACTTCTGCTGGCTTGCTTTAGTCCATAAATGGACTTCTTTAGCTTGCAAACCTTTCCAACGTTGCCTGGATTAACAAAACCTTTTGGCTGTGTCATATACACAGTTTCTTCCAAAATTCCATTAAGGAAGGCGGTTTTGCTATCCATTTGCCATACAAGTGCAGTAGTAGTAGTTGATTTCGCCACAAACTTCTCCCAGTCCTTCATCGTTATTTGTGGATATACATCCCATTTCTTCTCAGGTTCCTCCTCTCCTGCATTACCCATCACAATTTTCTTCAATTTATGCCTTTGTTTCTTATGGATCCATCTTGTTCTCAACGAACTTTTTGAAGTTTTTGAATCTCTCTTGTACAAAACTTTCAAACGATTATCTCTTGTTTGGCTCATCAGGAATACTAAACACACTCTGTAAGAATGGCAAACGTCCATGTTAGTCAAGGGTATAAAAAGAACGAAAAAAAACATGCCCGGTACCTGCACAACAGCCCAGGCACCTGCACAACCATCCTAGGCAGCTGCACAGGCAGCCCAGGCAGGCTGCACGGCCAGGCCAGCCACCTGCACAGCAGCCCAGGCAGGCTGCACGGCCAGGCCAGCCACCTGCACAGCAGCCCAGGCAGCTGCACAGCAAGCCCAGGCAGCTGCCCAGGCAGCCCAGGCAGGCTGCCCAGCAAGCCCAGGAAGCCAAGGCAGGCTGCACAGCCAGGCCAGCCACCTGCACAGCAGCCCAGGCAAGTTGCACAGCAAGCCCAGGCAGCTGCACAGCAGGCCAGCCACCTGCACAGGCAGCCCAGGAAGGCTGCACAGCTAGGCCAGCCACCTGCACAGTAGCCCAGGCAGCTACACAGGTAGCCCAGTCAGCCTGCACAGCCAGCCTTTGGTCAATTTTGTTGACTTTGGTGAATTTTGGTGAATACGCATTGATATTTGGTACAAAGTTTTTGGACATAAACTCAAATAAAAAACACTTACCATCGTATCATCCTAAAACATTTGAAGCAACCCTTCAGGTATCTCGGGCCAGTCAAGTGTAATAGGTATTTTACGTGTCAGTATGCCAATGTGAGTGGAATATTTGCTGCGCCATTTCCCAGTAGGTTGACCCGACTCGTCAAACTCAAGAACCATGGCTTCCCCGGGTTTCTTAAAAGCTTTTGTTGCACCCCTAACCTTTCTCTTCACCGGTGCCTTTCACCCTTCTCTACCACCGGTGGTTTTCACTTGACGTTGCGTGTGCATCTGCCCTTGTGAATCTCGTACAAACTCAGAAACAACATTATCCGTAATAGGGGGGCATATTTAGCTGCTATCGCATAATCGTCAAGCCTACGCTGAAACTCATCATGAGCTTGGTCTTCTGGTTCACCCAAATCTGGCTCGTCATCAGATTGAGAACTACCACGGTCTTCATCATCCATATCGTCTTCGTGGTGAAGGTACTCAGCACCACCCATTTTATGTACACACCTACCACCATAAGCAACGCAAATAATTAGTCATCAGTAAATAAAAGAATATGCTTATAAGTCATTGATTTCATGCTAATACAAGGTTATAGGAGCGAATGAAGTTCAAAATGGCATAAATGAAGTCCTAACTTTCTCAACTTCTGTATTTTCATTACTAGTTCACATCTAATCCTTCTAACAGCTGATATTTGGTATACAAAACATGTTTACAAGTTAAAAATGCTTAAAAGTCATTGATTTCATGCTAATACAAGGTTATAGGAGCGAACGAAGTTCAAAATGGCGTAAATGAGGATTGTTATACGATGCATAAAAAAAAGTACCTCATTCGAGTATTCCCTCATTGTGGTCTGATCGAACATAATTTGCATCCTTGTCTACATCATTTGCTACATCAAGTCTAGGGGCAGTGAAAGGGGGCGAATCATCAAACGCATCATATTCTTCCTCGTCTTCAACATCTCCAACCCCTAAAATTCTTCTTTTGCTAGCAAGGACAATGGACCATTTTGGATCGGCTAGGTCGGTTACATAGAACACTTGCTTAGCTTGAGATGCAAGGATGAATAATTCCAAACTATCCCGCAAGTGGCCAAGGTCTACAAGAGTGAAGTCATCATGTCTGACGTTGCACCTATTATTATCAACCCATTTACACTTAAATAGACCTACCTTGAATTCACGGTAATCTAATTCCCATATTTCCTGAATTCGTCCGTAGTAGGATAATTGTGCGTCAACCGGTGTTGTATCCTTTGCACTTGCAAACTCTCTTGATGAAGCCACAAGAGTGACACCACTATTTTGAGTCGATGAGGACTTCTGATCACGATGCTCAGTCCAGAATGTATACCCATTATGTCATATCCCTCAAAAGAATAAACATCTTCCTTTGGACCATAAGCTAGCCATTTGATAGTATCAGAGACACTCTTATCCAATTGACGCATAACTCGATCATGGAACCACGTCACAAACATCTTATTATGCAACTGCATTAGTACCCTTTCCCTTTTTGATGGAAATTCGGCACGCAAACTATCCATGTGCTCATCTAAATATGGGTGAACCTCCGCAACATGATGAAGCACAAATAGGTGAGCTTGCAAGAACCGTTTCGACCCGAGTGTGTCATGACCATCAAGTCTCCCTTCATGCCGGGAAGTGGGAAGCCCAATTGGTTCGGCAACGGCAACATACTCTGCCACGAAATTACCAATCTCCTCCGCCACAATCCCTTGAATCATACTACCTTCTGGATGGGCTGGATTCCTGACTTTGTGTTGCAATGTGCCCATGTGTCTTTCAAAAGGATAGCACCACCTCATAAAGACTGGACCTCACATCTTAATCTCATGAACCAAATGAAGAATCAAATGCACCATTATGTCAAAAAATGACGGTGGAAAATACATCTCAAATTTGCACAAAGTTACAACTACATTCGCTTGGAGAGCATCAAGTGTAAAAGGATCAAACACTTTGCTGCATATGGTATTGAAAAACGAACAAAGGCTTGTAATAGCTTCTCTCACGTGCTTCGGTAGAATACCACGAATTGCAATTGGTAGGAATACTTGCATCATCATGTGACAATCATGGGATTTCATACTTGTCAACTTCAATTCCCCACTTAAGGAAACGAATCTTTTCATGTTTGACGAGAAACCAGATGGAACCTTAATGTCGTACAAACAAGCACAAAACTTTCGTTTTTCTTCCTTTGACAATGTGTAGCAAGCTGGAGGTAAATAAACCTTTTCATTCTTTCCTTTTCCGTCATCTTTCTTCTTTGATACACCGGTGCCCTTTCCTTTGCACTCCCCCTTACGGTTTTTGCCACCATCTTCGCTTACCTTTTCCATTACCTTTGCCTTCCCTACCTTTGACTGGACCCACAATTCCGGACGAACCCCCCCACGCTTCCAAATCTAATCGTGCGCTCTTTCCATCCATTGTTTTTCCATGAATACCCATAATTGTCCCAACAACTGCATCACAAACATTCTTCTCTATATGCATCACATCGAGACAATGTCTAACATCATGTTCTTTCCAGTACTCAACCTTCCAAAAGATCGATTCCTTTTTAAAGAGAGCATGTGGGTCTAAAGGTTTCGATGTTTTACCAAAAACAGTTGGTATACCCTTCACTCGACCATACACCTCCTGTCCACTCAATGGCCTAGGCGCAGCCCCCTCTTCCACTTTCCCATTGAAGGCCTTTTTCTGCCTACGATATGGGTGATCGCGCCTAAGCAATCTTCGGGTCCTCACGTACACATCTTTGCCGTAGTGTTCAAGGTACACGTTTGGTGTGTCATCGATACAAATAGGATATGCTTTATGCCCTTTATTCTTGTACCTGGACAAGTTGCCATATGCGGGAAAATCATTAATGGTCCACATAAGGGCTGCACGCAATAGGAACATCTCGTTCTTATGGGCATCAAAAACAGAAACTCCTTCGTCCCACATCTTTCTCAAATCATCAACAAGGGGCTCAAGGTAAACATCTATGTCGTTTTCAGGTTGCCTTGGACCCGTTATCAAAAGTGATAGCATTACGTATTTCCGTTTCATACACAACCACAGAGGCAAGTTGTAGATCACTAAAAATACTAGTCATGTGCTATGTTGGGTACTAAGAGTGCCAAATGGATTCATACCGTCGGTGCACAACCCAAGCCTTAAATTTCTGACTTCTTCACCAAATGCCCTGAACTTCATATCGATGTTCTTCCAATTTGAGAGTCAGCCGGATGCTTCAGCAAACTGTTTTTCTTTCTTCCCTCTGCATGCCATCTCAAGTTCTTACCATCATTTGGTATTGAAAATAGACGCCTGAACCTTGGAATGATGGGAATATACCATAACACCTTGGCAGGAGGTCCCTTCATACCAGCATTGCAGCTCTTTTGCTTGTAACGCGACTTACCACAACGTGGACACTCCTCCAACTCTTTATATTCATTTCGATAAAGAACACAATCATTAGACTGCATGTATCTTCTTATACTCCAAACCAAATGGACACATGACTTTCTTTGCATAATAGTAGGACTTAGGAAGTTCATTCCCATCAGGCAACATGTCACATAACACAGTCAACAAAGAGGTAAAACTAGTGTCGCTCCAGTTATGCTTTGACTTAATGTTAAAAAGTGCTAACACAGCGGAGAGTTTGGTGTATTTTTTGGACCCAGGATACAAAGGATTTTTGGCAGCCTCTGATAATGACTCAAATACATCACATCGGTCACCAAATTCACCTTCAACATTATGCATCATCTCATCTAAGTGATCACCACCACCATCCTCGATCTCATCCCTATCCTCATCCCCATCTCCACCATCATCAGTCCCATATTCATCTTCCGCACGAATCTCGACACTTTTATCGTGCGTATCATTCCCAACAACATTCTCCCTATACGATCCCTTTTCACCGTGCCAAACCCACACATGATATTGAGGCCTAAACCCATGACAAACCACATGATCCCTTGTTGTATCAACATTGTCGACCATTGTGACATTGTTACAATTGACACAAGGACAATAAAGGTCATTCACACCCGTTTTGATCTGATATTGTGAAGCACTCTCGCAAAACTCTTGGACCCCATTAAAGAATTACAACGTATCACGTCTACCATACATCCAACCGCGATCCATCGACGTTTTAAATTTCCTTTACACATACCAACACGTTACAAATAATGTATAAATGCAACATATATTATGTCAATCAAAGTACATAGTATGCATTTATATCGTTCATACATATAGTGTAAAAATGAATGCTCCCAAAAGGTCTCCAACTAGTGAATGTATGTCAACTTTCCAATTTTAAGGAAAATCCGGTAGCATTTCCCCCCAGTTCTCCAAGTACACAACGTAGGTAATTACTTACCTACATATGCACCCAGAGAACATGGTGAGAAAAAGCTAAGCCGAGATATTCCTTAAAATCGAAAAAGAGACATACATTCACTACCTAAGTGAGATTAAACGTCCAAGAGCAGTCCCAACCGGGGACTATTCAAGACTTCCTCCTAATGAGAAAGACTCGAACGGGTATCTAGGCAAATGACGATGCAAGCATTCAATAATTTGCATTTGTTTGACATTTAACAAAACACAATTAACTTCATTCATTCATATAATGCTAATTGGACTACCTATAAGCAACCTAAGCTTACTTACAATCCATTCATTAATTCATCACTATCTAGCTACTCAAATTCAAACAACATATAACATTATACAATTGAGGTAACAATTACATTATGTATACAAATAATTTATAACATAATTAACATATAATATGATTAACTAAAATTGAAACCCTAAAATTTGAGAAATTGTTGACAAAAAAAAGATAAGGTAGTAAGATTAAGCATGAACTCACCCTAAAAGAAGGAATGCGGGGTGAAAGGGAGAGGTGTGGTGGTGGTGCCCTGTGAAGGTGAGAGGGGCAGCAGAGGGTCGCAACAATGGAGTGAGTGAGTGCAAGAGCTCGGGGCAGCAAGGGCAATGTCGCAGCAGCAGGAGGGTCGACGGAGGCCGACTGTGGTGGAGGCAGCGACGATGCTGCGGCAGCAACTAATCCCTATAGCAGTGGTAGGAGCAGGAGCAGCAACTAATCCCTAACAACACAAAACCGTGAAACAAATGGTGCGGCGGCTCTATGCCTAGGTGTTGGTGGTTGTTGTGGTGGGTTTAAGCAGCACGACAATTGTGGTTGTGTTGGAGTGACGGTGTGTGAAAGTGAAAGAGGAAGCGAAGGAGGTGGGAGCGAATTGAAGAAGGAAGCAAAGGAGGGAAATGACGAGGGAAGGAGGGAGTTTTTAAATGCCGGTTTTTTTTTTTTTTTGAAAGGGAAGCGGTTCAACCTAAACCACTTCTAATTCTATTCTTTTTTTTTGTTTTTTTTGCCGGGTTTTTGTAGGGAATTGGAAGTGGATTTCAATAACCGCTTCCAATTTGTGGCTTCCCATTACCTTTTTTCTTCTAGTGTTAACTGCATCATCAAACGTTGGAAATAATGTGCCTGTGACAAAATCCACACCACCACCGCCGTCTTCAGACTCCAAATCTTATAAAAATAAAAGAAACCACACAAAATTCTCCAATAATTTTTTTAATTATAATATTAATAATAATATTTGTAAAACAATAATAATACTATAATATCACTAATCACAAGTTAAATAATAAGATTGATCACAATAATATATTAAAAACACTAATAATAAGCAAATAATAAATAAACCAACATTAACTAATATTAACTAATAAATTATCACAAAAATAATAATAATCACAATAAAAATTATAATAATAATACAAATTTTACATTAATAAATTTGATTAATTGGTTTAAAAAAAATTGATTAATTAATCAAAAAAAAAAGAAAAAAAAGAGAAAGGACATCCGCCTAGAATTTCCGGATCTACCTAGGTCGACGCTTAAAATTTCCGGATCCACCTAGGAAGATCCGGAAATTCTGGGAGGATGTGTACATCTGCCTTAAATTTTCAGATTTACCTTGGTGGATCCGGAAATTTTAAGCGGATCCACCAAGGTGGCACTAGGCGAAAAATGGTAATTAGCACCGGTTCAAAACCCCCATTTCGCATCGGTTTTGAACCGATGTAGATTTGAGGGATGCTAAAAAGAAAAGCTTTAGCACCGGTTCAAAACCGGTGCTAAAAACAAACAGTTCGCACCGGTTCTTGCTGTGAACTGGTGCGAATAATGGCCCAAAAAAATAAAATAAAAAACTTTTTGCACCGGTTCGGTTTCAAAGCGTGCCAAAAATGTCCCAAAAAAATAAAAAAAAATTGCATTTTTTTCACTTAAAAGTTATGTAGAAACACTAACATATATATAAAGTTACATTTTTTCATTAAAAAAGGCTGTAATATTACAATTTTCGTTCAAAAAAATAAAATAAAATAAAATAACATCATGATTTTGTTAGGCTGTAATAAAATCATACATAGGAGTATCACTTAGGCTTCAAACTGGACATTTTCTAATCCTACCATTTTACAAATTATACCTGTTGATTAATGATGATCTAAACATCGAAGTTAAGAGTAGGAAGAAGCAATAACTTGGAAGGGAAGGGAATGAAAGGCTAAGTGGCTAACCATCGTCAAACGATGAGAAATCAGGTTCAGTTGGCTTCTGCAAGATGAGGAGGGGTGACCTTGGTGGAATTTTGTTATTTCGGGAAGTATTATGTCGCAAGTTACGAAGTGCATTGGCAGCAAACCTTGATGCATAAACTGTGGCACCAGAGCTTGGTGAGCTTCCAACCCCCTTGCAAGAGCGTCTCGTAATGATTTCCCATGCTTCTTTCTGTTGTATCGCCGCCATGCTGCTTGTATGAAACAGGCTGTCCATGTCCTCCACTGTTGTGAATAGAACCTGAATGCATCACAATAGACATATAAGTTCTGGCACAAACATTAAAAGTGACAGTCATCTCAGAAGTTATGAATATATTTAGACTGAACTTCAAAAATTTGTTGTAAATTCACCAATTTTTATTTTATTCTGGTCATGCATTATATTTTATTTTATAACATCATGCATTCATTCTAACCAAATCATGCACTCATTCCTAACCAAATCATGCACTCACAGACATTAGTCATAACATTAAACTTCCACCACAAACAAAGTAACGTATCAATCATAGTCAATGCTTTCAATCACATTATAGAAATCAAAGTTCAACGACAACATAATCACAATTCACAGTAATCAACATGAAATTAAGCAACGAAGTAAGCAGCAATTCAATCGATAAATAAAATACAAGGTCACACACAAATAAAATAAAATTGAAAAAAAAAAACAAATTTATAGAGCATAGTTTATTTTATTCAAATAAAATTGAATGTAAAGATACCTATATAGTAGTTGTACAAGATATAAATTGTTCCGGGGTTTTCTGTGTCCCTTGGGAGAGTTACAACTTCGAGGCTGGAACCACGCGCCTGTACCTGCAAGATAACAGAGACTCCTTGGGTAGGGAGCTCCGCCTCCAATGATCAAGTTAGTAGATGAAGGAGTTGTAAAGCAGAATGTAAATAGGTGCCGGATGCTAGGACGGGTCTAGCATGCGGTACCGAGTGATGTATGATTGTCTTGGGATTTGTGTAAATCCGAGTGTTTCTTGTGAACAGTCTCTTGTCATAAATGAGCATTTATGACCGTATTTATAGCCTTGGGAAGCGTGCCAGGTTCTAGGGTTTTTGGCCAACCCTAGGAATGACTGGGCTTTCCTGGGAATTGGGCCCAATCTATTACCTGTTTAGGCAAGGCTGAGAGGGCTACATGGCGCAGCATGGGAGGTCCATGGTGGACCAATGGAAGCACGCCACGTGGCAGGTCCTGATAAGTCCAACTAGGTGACACTTGTCAGGCCCTGATTGGTCCACATGGCGAGAGGTGGATTGAGGGAAAATCTCCCTAATCATAAATGACTGATTATTTCAGCTTACCCGTCTCATTGTTTGGATTAACTTCCACCCCTCAGCTCTTTAATCTGTAAGATTATTGTCAGCCTGCCCATCTCATTGATGCTACCCTCAGTCCCTAAGTTTAGCAGCTGAAATTTTAGGCAACTGATTAGAACAAGAACAAGCCAAATTTTTACTTCCAATAGAAGTACCAATAATCAGCAGTTGAAAACAATATCAAGCATGCTAAGCCACTAAAAGGTCTGAAAGATGTGTGTCAGTGCATGAGTGTGTGAGAGGAGCAAATGTCTAATTCAACTCAGGCATTCCTTTTCCAAAACTCCATCAAAAAAGCTTACATGTCAAGTATACATGATGTACAAGTACATCAGCTTCCATTCTCAACAAATTATAACACATATATCACTTAAGTTCACATAACATTAACATTAGCATCATCCACACAGAATGAATGAAATGAATATAGTTACCTCCAATTCAAGGGAGAACCCTTCAATGTCCGATAATGGCATATATAATTATCAGGTAAATCATGCTCACATTATTAGCAAAACTACTAATAGAAATCAAGCATGTCACCTAAAAAACTTCCAACCTCTTAATCTCAAAATCAATAACTTATATTGCATTGGCGGTATCTACTATCCAGCCCTTTTAAATATATAGACTACAACTCTTCTTACTAAATTTTAGCACAATAATGCACAATTACAACATAAATAAAACATACTCTAACACTATTTCCCATGATATGTTGGTGCTACATATTACAAAAATCCCTAAACCATGCAAGTTGAAGTTTACAGAACCAAGCTCAAAATAATTCAGCAAAATATCTTATCAAACATAAAACTGCTCACCAAATTCATGAATGCAGAAAGATGGCAAGGAAATCAATCAGTAGCACAAAAATCACTTGATAAATTTGAGCTCAGAAAATACTTTGTACAGTATATATAATTGGGGTCAAATTATCATGAAAATGCAGAAAAAAAAAACATAAGACCTGATAATAAATAACACCCAATAGATTACAAGTATCCAAACACAACAAAAATGCCAAGCAAAATGAATCATATTCCACCAAAAAAATCAACATAAGACCTGATAATATATAGCACCCAATAGCAAAATATTATCTGTACGGCGAGGGTTTCTCTCGAACAAATTATTGCTGAAGTCAAGTGCTTGCTTGTAGTTCCCAGATTTGTACTTTTAATGGGCAAGAGTAAGCAACAGACTGTCATCAACTACAAAAATGAGAGATAAACATCATTTTACAACTTCTATCATACTACTTGTATATTGCAATCAAGCAATAAGATGTACATTAGCTGAACAAAAAAAAAAAAAAAAACTCCAAAAGTCCAAATTAACACACAAATACAAATATACCCCAAAAGTACAACAATTAAGACAGAAAAGAACATGATAATACCAAAGATAAGTTCTTGGAAATTTAACAAGCAATTTCTACTATCTCCTCTTTTCAAATTAATGTTAATAAGTGATATAGTGAAAACTGAATACATAATGTACAAAAATTTTATATAATCTAGAAGATTATAATCTTACTCGTCACAGTAACATATTCACCAACAGTAACATAGCATCAATAAACCATCAAAAATCCCAATTCACCCAAATCAACCGAAAAAATGCCCAATTTCCACAATATGAACACTCTTTTTAAATATGCATGCATTGTCATAAAATGATTCAAAAACATCAAAATCGCATAATTAATTTCATCAGATCATCCGAACCAGCAACAATTTCATAGAAAATTAACACAAAAATCCTTTAACCTAAGAAAATAAAAATTAACACAAAAATCCTAAAAAAGCAAAATAAAATTCACAGAAAAATCAAAAGAATCACCAAAAAAAATTAAAAATAATTACCTGACCTATAACCTTGAGATTGATATGAGTAAATTGATCAGGAGCAGGCTTCTTATCTTCATTAAAAGCGTTGTTACCTCCATTGTTATTGGTATCAGTTTCTCCAGCCATCTTCAACAAATTTCGAACAATGTTACATCAATTAAACCCAAAATTTCAAAGCATTTACCAAAATATAACGCAAAGCTAAATAACCCAGAAACCCTAACCTCGAATTTCTGATTTTTGTTCAAAATTGATTCGAATATGTTGTTGTTGAAGACGCACGCACATCGAATTGATTCAAAATAGACGCACCCAGAAACCCTAACCTCCAATATTGTAGATTCAAGAAATATACGGTGGAGGCGATGATGGTTGTCCTTGGTTCGAATTGACGCCAGTTTTCGAAGGAGGGCAGCAGGTCGTTTGAGGCTGATTTCTTCAGTAGATTAGGGTTTGTTTGAGGAGAGAGGAGAGAGAAAAGAGAGATAAGAACGAAGAGGGGAAACAAAAAGAACGAAGAGGGAAATAGAAAGAAGAAAAAGGGGCGGGTTTTTATTTTTATTACAAATTGGCACAGGTTTGAACCGACGCCATTTCAAGAAATTCGCACTGGTTTGGTTTGAACCGGTGCCATTGCTCTTACACTAAATCCCGCCTTGTTTTTTTTCCACTGGCTTTCAAGAATCGGTGCTAATTTGTCGGTGCTAATTTGTGTTTTTCTACTAGTGTGGTTCTGGATATTTTGGGCGGATGTTTTCATTTCAAAAAATACAAAAAAAGTACGAGGGCTTACAGAATCCTCCGACGATGCCTCTGGTGTACGATCGTTGTCGTCGTCCATCGCCTTAAACCCTTCACTAAAACTTAATAAAAAATTTTTAAAAAAAAATCGGATTTTTGGTGGTGGATCGAATGTCGTGGGGTTGGATGTCGTGGGGTAGAATGTGGTGGGCTCGGGAATTTTTTTAACCATGTGTACTAAGTGGAGGGGTTGGAATAATATTAACATGCCCATATGTCTCAAAATGACCATTATATAGTCCAACTTACACAAAGGGCAATATCGTCCTTCCATGTCAAAATGGGAGCGATGCCTGGTAAAATGGGAGCGTTGTTTAGCAGTTCACAATTTTTTTAGCGTGCTTGAATGGGAGTAATTCTTCTTTTAGGGAGCTCATATGCTAAGATACTTCTCGGTTTAGCGTGCTTGAGTGGGAGTAATTCTGGAATGGGTGACCACCTGAGAAGTTTTCTAGTGTGCGCATGAGTGATATTTAGGCTGTAAATATATTTAGAAATACTAAAGTTAGATATTCCTATTATCTAGGAAAAATACAATAAAAAAATATAGAGAAATATTTTCCCCAAAATTTAACATTTCAATTTTTTCATTGTGCTGCACCGGTAGCACTGAGCACATGTACTTCAAAAAAGAAATCCGCTTGACGCGGGGCTTTAAGAAAGATCTCAGCAAGCTCCAATGCAATATCGATGTAATGTACTTCAAAGCAACGTTGCATTACCCTAATTACAAGTAGAGCTACATACAAATTAACAACCGAGTATAACTTCATTGGAGTGTTGAAAAGACTACAAATTAAACTATGAAAATAATGTCTTGAGGTAAGTAAGAAACATCCCACTTGAAAAATGTCGTTTGTGAACCTTTTTTTGGACTAGGTACTTAATTAGCATCACATAAATTGTGTTTGCCTCGCTCTAAAGGTACCTTTTTAACATCAACATAGGTTATGGTTGTCTCCAAAGCTATTTTTCACCATCACACTATTCATGGTTGCCTCTAAAAAAATACCATTTTAGCATCACATGGATTATGGTTGCCTCTAATTAAAATTTTAGCATCACATAATTTATTTATTTTTGAAACAAATCAATTCATTACTCAAAAGCCATCCGGCATCTACAAATGAAATCTAAATCAACAAATACATAAAATTGAACCAAATAAGGGTTTCCTTCATCAAAGTTACGATCGTTGAATAGATCGATCTTGCACTGTAGTACATCTCTCCCACACATCGCTGGAATATAAATCCTTTTCGGAGAGACGGTCTAATGATTTGTTTTAGCTGTAAGGATGATTTTCATCTAATTCACTTGAACGCCTTTATGGATTTGACAACCGTTGCAATCCTGGACAACTCTTTACCAACGAACTGATAATAGGGCAAAAGATGATTGCCTTTTTAATAAACCCTAACTAAGACACACACGCACGCACAAAAAAAAAAAAAAAAAAAAAAAAAAAAAAAAATTACCAACTCCACCATAGGGAGACAGACGAACATTTACACTACTCGTGTAGATTTATTGAAATCTAAATAGCAAAACCAAAGAAAAATAAGGGAAAAGGGTCGGAAATAGTCTAATTTTCGAAGAAATTAGACTATTTTCGGCCTAAACAGCCAAAAAATTTAGAAAACCCAAGAAGAGAGGAGGAGAGAGGAGGAGCATTAGGTTTTGTTTTTACACAATTTGTTTAATATATATAGCATCACATAGTTTATGTTTGCCTCTAAAATTACACTTATTTATTATTTATTTATTTTTTTATATTATTTTTTTTTGAGGAAATGCTTTCACTAGATATTAGCTTATTGCCTCTAAAAATGATTTTCAGTAACACATAAATTAGGGTTGCATCTAAAGATTGTTAGTTTCTACATTAAGTCGACTATGATTGTATCTTAATGTATCTTTTAGAGTTTTAGCATCACACAAATTCAGATTACCTCTTGAGACTTTTTAATTTTAACATAACACAGATTATGGTTATGGTTATATCAAAAAATACTTTTGAGCAACATCAATCAATGAATGACTTAAAAAGTAATCTTACACATTGGGAGTCTTTAATTTGAGTAGCTTTTTTAGAAGTATCTATGATTATACTCTTTTTTTTTTTTTGTTTTTTTTTTTTTTTTTTTAATCTATGATTATACTTAAACACACCAACTCGCTCTAAAAATGGACATGTGTGGCACTAAGTTAAACCATTCTCCCTTCCCACTTTTCACGAAAGTAGAAAAGATTGCAGTCATATAACATCCTACTTATCTTCTTGCCAAAATGGCATATGTTGAATATTTTGGGAGTACAAATGTATAATTTCTCCTTGGTAATATATCATGTTTGAAAAATTGATCGTTGAATATATGTTAAATATAACTTTGCCTTGTGATACCTAGGCTTTGTTCTTTTTGAACTCAACTTTTTTTTTTTATAACTTCACTTCAGTTTCAATTCAGTTCAATCCTAATAAATCCATTTCAGTTCAATTCAATCCTATTTAAATATAATTTTAACTTAAATTTAGTTAAGCTCAATTCAACTTAAAAAAGAACAGAACTTTATAATCTATAAAAGGATATTTTGGATTTTAACACCTTACAAAAGGCTGAAAATGTTTTTTAACACCCCCCAAAAAAAAACTTTTATTTTAACACCTCCCAAAAATATAAAAGTTGGAAGTTAACACCAAAATCCATCTTCCGTTAACAGAACTGTTAGTGGGGCCCACCCCAACGGATATATTTTTAAAAGATCTGTATATAAGAACCATTCTTCCACGATTCTTGCACGATATATAAGAACCATTCTTGCACGATTCTCCCCCAATGAACGAAATTGTTGTTCTTATTGAATAGCAGCAGCGCATTGCATTGTTGCACGATACTTGAAACAATTCTTTCACGATTCTTCCACGATTTTTGAGAAGAGGAACAGATTGAAGCTGCTGAAACAGGTGAGTGCGGTCAATTGTTCGGTTGTTTGGTAATTATGGTTTAAATTCTCTTCAATTATTATTTGCAATTGTTTCGTACTCAGATTAATGGTTGGATTATGTTATGTACGCATCTAAATGCCCAATTGCGAAATTAGGGTTCGTCAGAAATTGAATTTGGGGCTTTTCGTATTATGAAATTAAAAATGAATTTTGTTGCTGTCAATGTTAATTCGTCAGTGTACAAATCTGACGAATGTGACTGTCGATCTAAAATTGATGCAGATTATGTCGTTTGTTAGCTCTTCCCCTCCTGAGGCCAGAAAATGTAAGTGTGGTGTGCCAATGGCCAAGCTCACTAGCTGGACAAGGGAGAATCCAGGCAGGAAGTTCATATCATGTAAGTTTTATGACCCAATAACAGAAACAAGGGGTTGCAAAGCTTTCGAATGGGTTGATCAACCTGATGGAACAGATTGGCAAACAGGGGTTATCAACAACCTGTTGTTGGATAAGAAGCTGCTAAAGGGTGAAGTTAATGAATTGAAAAGGGAAGTTGATGAAATCAGTGGCCAAAGGAGGTGCCTACTTAATGAAGTTGATAATTTGAAGATGAGATGCAAGGCCTTGAACGCTGACAGGAAGAGAATGAACAGGGAGTGCAATGAAGGGAAGGTGTCTTCAATCAGCTGTTTTGGTTGGGTGGGCATGGCCATTTGTATAGGTTTGTCAATGGGTGTAATTTTCCTAATGGCTAGGGGTGTGTAATAGTAAGCTGTATTAAGTAGTTATAATTTCTTGTAATGACTTGAAGTGTTATAAATATGTCTTTTAATCAACCTATTTATGCCTTGTCTAAGTTCCTATTTATGCCTTGTCTTTTAATCAACCTATTTAAACATGTGAAACATTAAAACATGGGAAATATGTGAAACACTAAGATAGTTCAAGTACAGGTTGACAAAAGAACCTTACTTCAACATGTTTCAATGGCAATCAAAGCCATGCAACCATTACAATTCAATATCTAATTGTTCAAATTTGTTAAGGGAAGCCACTAAAAAACTAGCAAGTTACATAACCAGTCATGAGTACATAATAAAAGTTTGAAATTGTTCAACAGACATAATGTTTGATATCCAGCATGAGTACATCACTGAGTAAGGTTGTTGAGGGATTGCAGCCTGGCCCTTGTTACAACACCTGTGGCTGTTGTAGGCTGACTTGAGGAAGACCTTGTCTTTCTTTTTGGTTGGCTTGAGGCAGGCTGACTTGAGGAAGGCTGAGCTGAGGATGGCTGACTAGAGGATGGCTGAGCTGAGGAATGCTTAGCTGAGGAAGACTGTGGCTGTGGGCGCTTGCTGAATGGCAGACAACCTTCTTGCTCTTGAGGAAACTTTTTGTTTCCTATGCTGTTTGGTCCAGCCCCAATTGCACTCTATGACATGCATATAAAAATAAAAAGTCAATGGAAAAGACACATACATATATAAAACAAAGGGGGAGTTGGTGTAATGCTTGTGTTACCTTTTTAGCAGCCCTAATCTCTTTCTTCTTCCTCTCCTCCACCATCCAAGGAGTGTTCAGTGGGGGTCTGCCTGCTGACTTTATCAGCTCTGTAGCTGGTGCAGCAGGTACTTTGCAAGTCTTGGCATAATGCCTATATCCCCCACAGTTGCTGCATTGCTTCTTCCTCTTGGTACTTGCCTGACCACCTGAAGAAGAACATTCTCCTGGCTCAAGCTTCCTTTTTTTGCTCTTTGGTCTCCCAGGTTGCACCTTAACAGAAGGGGGTAGTGGTTCCCTCATTCTGACTGTCTCCCAGTGCTTTGGGCCAGGCATTGGTTGGACAGCTGGTTCATAAGCAGACCTGTATGTGTCCATGGTATAGTATGGGTCAACAACAGCCTCTATGTCACCCCTCATATCCAATATGCAGGCATAAGCATGAACACATGGAATGCCAGTGAGTTCCCAATGGTAACATGTGCAGGTCTCCTTGTCCAAATCAACCAACACCTGGTCATCCTTCAGCTGCACCTCAAATGTATTCCCTCTGGATGGCTGCACCACACAGGACCTAGCCACAAAGTCTATCCTCCCCAGAACATGCCTCACATATGGCACTAAGTTGTGTGTAATTGTTTTTGAATCCTCCCACTTTTCATTATTCCTGTTCATAATATACCTCCTCATCCATTCCATTTGGGTGAGGATAGGTTTATCTCTGGCAGGCCTAATGACTGCATTGAAAGTCTCACACATGTTGTTCAACAACATGTTGGACTTGCAGTTTGGTGTGAATGCATGTCTAGACCAATGGTGGGGAGGAATGTTGATTAAATACTCATATGCCTCTTCATCGAGGAATTTGATAGACTCCATGGCAATTTCATGCTCAAACTGACATATAAAAGCATACCAGAAATCACACCAAGCATATACAAGCTAACCAATATAAAAACACACCAACAGTCATATAAAAGCATAGGCTAGCTTCAACAATCAATAAACTTACAATGGTGGTGGCCCTAGCTGCTCTCCAAAACAGCTCCTTAAAGGTTGATCCAGTGAAGTTGAGCTTGAAGTTAGCCCAAATATGCCTCACACAAAACCTTTGCTCAGCTTTGGGAATAACATCAGCCATTGCTTTAATCAAACCCTACCAAATGCAGACAAAAGTATAATCATCAGTCAATCACATACATACACATGAAAACTTAGAAATTGAACCTAAATAGTTAAGAGGGAAACAGAAGCATTACCTTTTGCCTGTCAGACATGATGGTCAGCCCAGCTCCTTGATCATGTGTGAACATTGACATAAGGGATTCCAAGAACCAACCCCAAGTTTCCTGGTTTTCAATCTCCACTGTGGCCCAAGCTAGAGGAAACAAGTTGTTATTCCCATCCTTAGCAACTGCCACCAGAATTTGCCCAGGAAAGGCACCCTTGAGGTGACAACCATCCAACCCTATTAAAGGCCTACAACCCTTTGCAAATCCATCTCTCAATGGCCTTAAACAGATGAACATCCTCATGAACAATGGTGGCTCTGGCCTGTCAATACCATCAACAACAACATTGCACCCTGAACCAGGGTTGTACTTCATCACAGCTTTCCCATAATCCCACACCCTAGCATACTGCTCCCTAGCTGAACCAAATATCAGTAGTTTTGCCCTACACCTAGCTAGCCATGCCTTATAGTAACTCACATCAACTCCTAAATCATTCAAAATCCTAGCCCTAATCTCCTTAATTCTCCAACCAGGGTTACTCCTAAACTCTTCTAAATACCTCTCTGCTATGTATTCAGCAGTAAGCATCTTGTTCTTCTTTACTCTGAAGCAGGAATGGTCTAAATTCAAGGTTTTGATTTGCCAAGTTTGCTGCTTAACAAGTTTTGATGCAAACACCTTGAACTGACACTTTACCCCCCCCACACATGTACAAGCAGGCATTCTACAAGTGTAGCTATTGAACTCACAGCCACATCTATATCTACACTGAACTGTAATCCTTTTACTGTCATTATGCAAGTAGTAGAACTCATACCTGTTTTGAATGGCATGAAGTCTTAAGGCCCTCCTCAAGACTGAAGCATTACTCAATTTCTGATTTAACTTCAACTTGATTGGGTTGTCAAAGTCCACATCAGCATTAAACCAAGGAGCATAGTCCTGTTCCTCATCAGATCCACACAAACTCCTTGAATCATCTGAATCAGCATCACTTTCTGGATTCACCTTCGGTTTTCCAACATCCAAATCATTTCTCAACTCTACTCTCTTATCTTTGCCAACCCTGTCATCTACTGCACTCTCCAAACCTTTCCTAAGGCTCTTGTTCACTTTGGCCAAGATCTCCTTTGACCCTTCAATATACCATTCCTCATCCCCTTCATCAAATTCTTCTTCACCAGGTTCCCAATCTTGTCCCTCATCACTCAAATCTGAACTTGAATAACCAGATCCTTCACATCCATCATCCTTTTCTTCATCAAACCTCAACACTTTAGCATTAGCTGAGGCTTTCCTAGGTGGACTCTCCTCCCTTTGTTCAGTTTCTGTCTTCTTAAACCTAGGGCTCCTCCTAATAGTCGATGTATTTGAACTTTCTACCTTCTTATCCTTTTTTTTTGTCTTTGCAGGATTGGGTTGGGCCTCTTGTATGGGCTGACTAGGAGCTTCTGTTGTTACAAAAACCTCAACATACCCCTCTTCATTTACTGTCTCCAAAAGGCCCTTAACCTCTTCACTGTTAACTAGTTCCCTTTTCCCAGTGTTAAAGGTTTTCCCCTTCTGCCTATACCAACAGCTGTAATGCATAGGCACATCCATATCACCATTAACAAAACCATGAATTGCAGCTGTTCTAATCAAATGCACATCCAACTTAGATACTTGAACCTTCCTCTTCCAGTAACACCAACCACCACACCAACACAGCAGCTGCCTGTTTTTGGTTACTCTTTTAGGGACAAAAGCACCTCCCACTCTAAGGCAGATGTCAACCAAACTATCCTTGTCACCCATTATCTACCCACCAGTGAAAAACATATAAAACATATTAAAAGCCATGTAACTATACATGCACAATACGAATAAACAAATCCATCACAGCCACACAAACAAACACATAAAAAAATTGAAAATAAACATATACAAGCCAATGTAGGTGCTCAGTAACATAAATTAATCAACAAACCACACTTGCTAGTTTAATTAACAATAAACCACCTTAATTAATCTCTACTTTCAATTACGAAATCCAATTAACCTAAGTCGCATAGTCAGTTACAGAAATTGATTTATCAAGGCTTTCCTACTGTGGTCCCAAAATTTACCCTAATTACCCAATTATTGCAAGGTTTACAGCAATGAAGCACCAGTAATTGACGAAATTGCTATCAAAGGAGAGCAATTTTACCTTATTTTCTGTGAATTTCAAGCGGCTTTCGCACTTTTGTAGTTGAAGAAGATGATGAAGAAACCCTCCTGAGCTTATCTTCTCCAACGTTGACACCACCCTACACTCCACTTCTCAGCCAAGATCTCCTTTGGTTCAAAAGCGAAATCAATGAAGGTTCAGAAAGAATTCAATGCAGAAGGTTGCTGCGAATTCAATGAAGAAAGAAGTTTCGTGTTTTGCTGGGTGAAAATTGAAGTTCAAGCCAATTTGTGGGACCCACGTTAAATTTCCGTGACGGAAATCGTTAACTGGTGTTAACTTCCAACTTTTATATTTTTGGGAGGTGTTAAAATAAAAGTTTTTTTTTGAGGGGTGTTAAAAAACATTTTCAGCCTTTTGTAAGGTGTTAAAATCCAAAATATCCTCTATAAAATGAAGTAGAACCTGTGAACTTCTTATTAGTATACTCCGTCTCATTTAAAGCATTATGTATTCAGAATTTATATTACCAAAATGGTGAGTTACAATACAGTGATAATAACAACCAACGTAAGTACAAAAGAGTAGTGCACATGTACAAGATCAAGGAATAAAAGATTTGGATTACTTTATGGGACGGATGGATAAATCATGATTAAATGAGTTATACGGGTAATTTGTATTTTTTTTCTCTTGTAGGTAACTCGTCTTTATAATATAAGCCAAGGCTCAAGGAGGCTGTTATGTACACCCGGGGTTTATTTGCTCATTAATTTCTGCTCATTTAATAAATGAGCAAGTACTTTTGCTCATTTATTAAATAAGCAAAAATTAATTAGCAAATAATTTCGGGTGTACGGTACACCTGGGTGTATATAAAAAATTCTACAAGGGTAAAGTAATAGTATCCCGGCCCCTTGTAATTAGACTTATCTACCCCTAATTTGATTTTGAAAAATATATGTTTTGATTTTTCTAAATTCCTTCTTGATTTACATAAAACTAACATAAAATTATGCATCAAAAAAAATATTAATGATTGAAAAATAAACTAACCGACATAATGCAATTTTTCGACAATTACAAAGAAAAAACGTAGGCCCCATTTACTTCACCTTATTTTTGCTGAACTGAAATTATTTTTAATGAACTGAAATTATTTTTGTTGAACTTAAATTATTTTTACTGAACTGAAATTAATTTTACTAAATTGAAATTATTTTTGCTGAACTGCAATTATTTTTACTGAATTTCTATTATATTCCTTCTTTAAAGTTACTGATTTTTACTAAACTGAAATTATTTTTACTGAACTTAAATTAATTTTACTGAACTGAAATTATTTTTACTAAACTGAACTTATTTTTACTAAATTGAAATTATTTTTACTGAATATTATTTTTGTAAGGTAAAGTGAACAGGACCTTACATGATTTCTTTTTACCGAAATTTTCAATTGCAATAAATAACAATTTCAAATAACTCACACTAAATAACAATTTAGAAATATACTGAAAATTCTAAGAGGATAATCTAATCTTATTGTTTAGTTTTCTGGCCTCTTAATTGTTATTTGAGTCATTTAACAAAGTTAGGATTATTAAAATCAATTTTTTCATTAGAATAATCTAATGTATAATTCGGATATGCCAAAATTAAAAGAGTTTATGGAGCGCGAGATGTGCTCCATCTAATGAAGGTTGGTGGTAATATGCATCAACAAAATTATGTAGGTGGTGAGATGTAGTCACAAATTGAAACGTCTGGCAAGATGATGTGAAATTCGAATAGGAAGATAACAAGCAAGCTCTTCTAAAGTCAAGTGTGTGGTTACATGGTTGTGTTGATTGAGATTAAAAAAGTGTATCGAGTTCAAGTCGAAGTCTATCACAATATGGGTCATTGAAGACAATAGCAAGTTTTAGCAATTGTGATGTGTGAGTTTGAATTATGGGGGTGTGTTAGTTAATTGATTCAAACTAAGTTGGAATAATTTTGAGAATATTGGTTTTTAGTCTTTCCGTTAAAGACTTAATGGTCATAGGATATCAAGTTGAGTTGTTAGTGGGCTAGTTAGTGGCTAATTGTGTTATTAGTGATTTCCCTTTTTTTTTTTCTTTTTTTCTATTTTTTTTTTTTTGATATTTATATCATTAATTAGCTTTCTTAAAGGAATGAATGTATTTCATTTTATATAGCAAATGATATATTTAAGCAATCAGTTAAGTGTTTTATGCTTTCTATTCCATCTCTTTCGTTTCTCTTTTAATTTCAACTAGAACATTACCTGAGGTACAAGTTATATATGTTGATCCTAAATCATAAGATCTTCAGTTTTACTTGTTGCTGTGTATTAATTGAATGTGTGCCTGTGTGATGTTTTGATTCTAGAGATCAGCTGAAAAGCTGAGGCTTCATGCACTCATCCTATTTACTCCCAATGTTCATAATTAACTATTTATCAAGTCAATAAAAATTTGGATTAATAAAAAATAACCGAAAGTCGAAATTATTTAAAACTAATCGGTCAAAGTTAGAATTATATTTTCCAATTTTTTCTAATTTCAATACTTCATATGTTCTAGTTGTTTCTACTATGTCCTCTGTTTGTTTATGTTCTACTGATCAATTATTTTAAATACACAATTTATAAATCTGTTGAATAATGTGAGTAGTTATAAAATAAAGTATAATAATGTTAGAGAGAAAGCTAATGTAAAAGGATGAATGTAAGAAAAAAGTGGATAAAACATTGAGAGAGAGTGAAAAAGTAAAACTATTGTGGAGTTGACACGTAACAGTAAAATTGGGAGTTAAGTATAATATAAGGACCTCACTTTTACAATTTTTCACCTTTGATGACCTCTCACTTTTTTTTCAGCTTTAAGTGTTGGTAAAATACCTGTCGATTCCAATAATAAAACAAAGAAGATGAACGGAAAATTACTTGATTGATGATCTCAATTATACAGTTGTGCCACAAGACATAATCTACTGCATTAAAAGCGAAATACGCCACCACCGGTATAGGTTTTCTGATGACACGCGCCCCCCAATGTTAACACAACTCTCCTCGTAATTCGTATACCCAAACCCGAAAAGTGGAATTGCTCAAGAATTGTTCGGATCTCAAAGGGTAGGCTTGTGTTTAGGGTTTCCAAGATATAAAAAATTGTATATCTCAATTTGGGGCTAAGGATTATATATATGTGTAGAAAGAAAGGAAATAAATGAAGCAATAAAGGCCTCCAATTCCAAGCAAGCCCATGGATTGCCGCAAGCAACATAGGGCCTCCCTCACCCTTCCGCAAGCAACATAGGGCAGCGAGCATGCACTCGCTCGAGCACTCGTTCGCCCTTTCGCAAGCAACAACAACAACGAGCTAACGAGAAAGCTATCGCTCGAGCTCTCGCTCGCCCCTGCTGTAAGCTAATGAGTAGCGAGCTAGAGCTCACTCGCATATGAGCTCTCGCTCACCCTTGCCGCGAGCTATCCAGCAGCGAGCTAGAGCTCACTCGCACACTAGCCATAGCTTGACCTTGCCGTAGCTCACTTGCCTTGCGAGCTATAGCTCTGTCACTAACTCCTTGCACATGATGTCGATAGAAGGTTTGAGCTCCGATTTTCATTACAAGTATTATTGCTCCAACAATCCCCCACTAATGCAAAACGGTCTAAGATCATGAAATCTGAACAGTAAAATGAAAGGT